GCGCAGCTGAGCGCAGGCCGGGGGAGCCGAGCTGGGCGCGGGGCGATGTCGGGCGCGCTGCACTTCACGGGCTGCATGAAGGTGCGCGTGGGGGAGGCGGTGGGGCTGCAGCCCACGCGCTGGTCCCTGCGCCACTCGATCTTCAAGAAGGGGCAGGTGCTGGACCCCTACGTGGCGCTGAGCGTGGACCAGGTGCGCGTGGGGCAGACCCGCACCAAGCAGCGCACGAACCGGCCCACCTACAACGAGGAGTTCAGCGCCGCCGTGTCGGCCGGCCGCCAGCTCGAGCTCGCCGTCTTCCACGACACGCCGCTCGGCTACGACGACTTCGTGGCGCACTGCGCGCTGCCCTTCGCCGACGTGCTGCGGGGCGCCGGGCCCGCCGGCGGCTTCGAGGGCTGGGTGAGTCTGCGCGCGCACCGCGTGTGCCTGCAGGCGCCTGCGAGCGCGCACACACGTGTATGTTTGCATGTGCACGCACACGGATACACACATCTGTGCGTGCACTTGCGAGCGCGCGCACACGCACGCACGCCTCCGTCCGCCAGCATGCACATGCAAGTGGACACTCACCTGCTTGCGTGCACCTGCAAGGGCACAGACTCGCACATGTGCCTGCACATGCGCGCAGACTCAAACATCTGCACACACACATACTTGCACGCAGACACGTGCACCTGCCTGCATGCAGATGGACACGCACACAGACACGTGCGCTCAGACACGCACACATCTGCCCACACACAGGTGCCTGCACACGCAGTTGCCCATGCACACCTACACATGCCTACACATACGCATGGACACGCATACACCTGCCTGCATGCACATGCTTGTATGCCCCTGCACACCCACCTGCCTGCATGCATCTGTACACACATGCACATCTGCACACGTGCCTGTATACACACATGCACCTGCCTGCATGTATCTGTGTGGGCACGCACACACCTTTCTGCATGCATCTGTGTGCACACACTCATCTGCCTGCACATGCACCTGCCTACATGTGCCTGCACACACACAGCCACACACACCTGCCTGCATGCACCTGCACAGACACATGCACCTGCCTGCACACACACACGTACACACACCTCTCTACATTGCTGTGCTTCCCTGCCTGCTCTCACCTGAATTCACCTAAGGCAGCTCCCTTCTTGGCTGGTGCTCTGTGGATGGGAACGGGGTAGTGAGCCCTGTCAGTCTGAAGTCAGGCAGTTAGCCAACATTGTCTGCAAGTCATAAAAGCTTGTGATATATCTGGTTCTGTTAGACTAAGGTGCAAAACTCCCTTGCCTTCTAGTGTGAGGCTGGGCAGAAGGCAGGGGAGATTTGCACTTTATAGAACAACAGTTCTCAAGCAGGGGCTGCGGCCCGCTTGGGGGTGCCTCGAGAGCCTTTTGAGGGTGCTGTGGGAGGCCACGCAGTGCTCGCACTCTTAGATGTGCAGATGTGATTTGCCAAATAAGCCCCAGAGGGTTTCCGGATAGGAATTCACGGTGTTAAAACATCTGCCTTGCTGCTGCTGTTCTGAGTTCTTTGCAACAGGAAAATTGCGCTAGTATTTTTTGTAGTGAAAAGATCAAGTGAAAACTAAGAGCTGGCAAGTTCTCAACGGACCTTAAGTCTCTCAAGAGGGCCAGGAAAGGTTGAGCCTAGAAAAGGTTGAGAACTATTTGTATAGATCAGAGGTGTCAAACTCCTTTGGCCCTGGGGGCCAGATGAGTGGCGCAGGACTGATCCACGGGCCAGGTGAATGGTGTGGGATGCCCCTGTGGGCTGAATCAGGCCCGCAGACTCCCTCCATGCCGGATCCAGCGTCTGTAGCGCTCGTTCTGGCCGCTCCAGGACTGCGCTGTATGTAGCTCCTGCTGAGACTGGATCAGGATGCAAGCTGCACACGGCAAGTGCCCCAGCCGTCTGGGGCGGGCACCGCATGTCGTGCAGGTCCTGGACGAGTGAAGCAGGCCCTGGGTCCAGCATGCAAGGGGTTGCAGACTGGCCCTGCGCAAGGCTGGTGCCAGGGGCTGGATGGTGTGGCCCTGGGGGCCGCTTCAACACCTCGTTATTGTCCAGTTGAACCAGAGACGTATAGCACGAGCTTTTCTAAGCTATGGATTACTTCATCAGATGCAGTGAAGAGATGGCAAGCAGAGCTTCCAAATAGAAAGCAGTGGTTAAAATACAAAGGGTAGAGAAGGGGGGAAGAAAAAGGAGCAGCTCTACTGAGAGGCAAGGGGGGTAGGAAAGAGAAAAGCAGTTAACCCGCTGAGGGACATGGACTAGTTTTTAAACCCCCCAGGGAGTGGGATAAAAGTCTGTAGTTGTGGGTTATGAAAACTTATGCTATACCTCTCTGATTCAGTTACGCTATAAGGTACACATCGACTCTGGGGATTGACTTGGGACCTTCCAGGGTAAAAGCAAGAGCTACAGCTTGAGTTGAAAAGCATCGAGACTGGAGCTGGAATGTCTCTTGTGGGTTGGCCGGGAGGGGACTTGCACACGAGCTCCCTCAGACTCTCGTGCACTTTTCCCTGTGCTCTTGAACACACGTGCGTGCACTCAGGGATGCAAGAATTCCTAGGTACTTATGCACGTGCCCCGACACATCTGGACAGGTACATGTTTGTTGGGCCAAAGTTACCCCTGCGTGTAACGGGGTTCCAGGAGCGATTCGTTCTGTATCGCACACAGCAGTTCTTGCTAAACGGCAGTACTCGCAGCTGGTTCCCTCCATTTCCAGGTAGGCGCAGTTCCCATACAGATGTGCCGTATTTCAGTCCAAACAAAGGGAACGATCTATAGGCAGGTGAAGCGCCTGCCTTTGTTTCCTTGCTAGAACAAGGCGAGTGTGACCTGTCCGGTGATGCTTCGCAGTGTGTCAGGCAGTTCGGTGTGAGAATACACACCCATTCTGGGCAGATTCAAGTGTTCAGCATTTCCCTGGAGGGAAGGCATCTACTTCCTTATCAGGGAAGGAAGCTTAGTAAGCATGGCATAACCACCACCCCAATCAAATCAGGCTGAGGATAGCTGAAAGAGGTGGCACTAAAATACCCAAGATCATATCACAAGGGGAGCTGCCAGTACTTCCCTTTCACATTTCAGTATCAAGGCAGAACATAATCTCGTATTGCAAACTGTGAGAACAATGATTGTGTGTCTGTAGAAAAAAGTGCCAGTAATGAGGCCATTAATGGGAATTACTTTGCCACTTATCACCATCACAGCCCAGCATATTAAGCGCTGTACAGGCAAGTGCAAGGTCCCTGCTCCATGGACCTGCTGCCGGTGCTGGGAGTGCAGCGTCGTGTGTGCATCCCTAAATTAGCATTGGTCTAGCTAGCTTGGGTACCGGTAGCAGCCAGGCTGCAGCAGTATAGAGTGGCCTGATCATCTGAGCACTTGCCCAACCTCTTGTGCAGGTTTGCGGGTCTGTCTCTGAGTACTTCCATGTTTCCGGGAGCCAAACTAGCTAATTTAAGTCAGGGTGGAAGTGGACTTTATAGACTAACCCAGTGATTCTCAAGCAGGCTGCCGCAGCCCCCCCGGGGTTCCTGAAGATCCCTTCAAGGGTGCCATGCGGTGTCATGCCACGTTAGTACTGTGAAGCGTGCAGACATGATTCATGAGATAAACACAGGGATTTGAGATGGGAATCCATAGTGTTACAATCATTCTGACCTGGTGTGGGCTTTCTGAGTTCTTTGCAAAAGAACTGCCCTGTTATTTTTCTGTAGTCAAAAACAGAATCAAAGCTAAGAGCTGGCATTTTCCAAGGAGGTGGCTGGGTGGTAACTCTAAGGAGTTGAGAACAACTGCAGTAACCTTAGGTCAGAGTGCACCTCTCCTTGCCTTCTCCTAGACTTCAGACTACCATGGCTCACTACCTCTCTCGAGCCAATTTAGAGTCAGCTCCAATATCGTTGTGACGCAGTGCAATCCCATCCCATAGAGCAGGGGTGGGCAATTATTTGGGCTGGATGGACACTTAGCGAGTATTGGTGAGCTGTCAGGAGCTGGGTCAGTACCCTTTCCCCATGCCCCACAACAGCTCACCAAAACTCCCAAGATGACTCTGCTCAGCGCTTGGCTGGGCGGCTGTCCTGCGATCCCAGGGTCCCCTTGGAGACTCGCAGGACTCACCTGGGCATGGCACACAGGATGGGGCCTGGGCAGGAAACGGCATCTGGGAGTGCGACGGGTGGGGCCGGGATTTTGGGGTGATGACAGCACGGGGCCAGGGCCCAAGGCACAGCTGCACTGTGCTACCCGCAGTACCAGCACCTGTTGCAAGGACATGCAGGCAGTGGATCGCAGCTCGGTCCTGGGCCCCAGCCCTGCGCTGGCTCATCCCACTCTTAGACGCTGCTCCTCACCTGCCCACAGCCCCATCCCATCCACCCGGCCGCACGCTCTGATCATGCGGGTCCTGCCCCTGGCAGTGGGTGCAGGGCGATAGGCTGGGGTGCCTGGCCAGAGGAGGTGGCGGTGGCAGCAGTCAGGAGGAGCTGCCACCACCACTGGGGCTGCTGAGAAATGAGGCTGGCCACCACGCTGCCCCTGCCCCGCTGTGCACACGGGGGCAGTGGGACCAGCCGCTCATGCCGTGGTCCAGTTCTGTCACCTGGAAAAGAGGTGGCAGAGTCAAGATGCTTGTCATGCAAGGGGAAGTCTGCAGAGTGCTTTGGATGTGTCTGATTGTTTCAGTGAGCGGCTCATTTTTTAGCAATGCATTTAGAGCAATACATCCCCAGGGGTGCATGCAACAGTAGGTGCCTTACACTGGTAGCTTTAATTCCCCACCCAGAATGGAGTTGTACTGCTTTAGTGAGACCAGTGGAGTCAGTGTTACAGCTTTTTTGTGGGTAGACAAGACCTAACAACTAATGTACCCCTGTTGTCCTATAGCTCATCAAGCTATTATAGTGCATTTTTGGAGGGGGGGAAAGAGCCATCCTAGGCTGTGCTGGCATCCAGATGTGGTGATCAAAGGATATAAGAGTTAGTAAAAACATAGAAATTCTGACAGTTAAAAAAAATTCATTATTCTGCATAAAAATAAAATGGAGACATTTCGGAATTTTTCGTGGAAAGGGAATTCCAACAAAAAAAAATCTGTTTTGGAAAAATATCAATGTTTCCATTCAATATTTGCAGAATAAAAAGGAGGGACTGGATGCCCCGACCCCACAGGCGGTCTCCCCAGGGCTGTGCCGTGCCCTGAGTGCAGTCCCAGAGAAATGACCATAGAGTCAGTGGTGGAGGAAGGGAAATGTCCCCTGCCACCGAAAAGGGAGCCTGGAAGTCCTGAGAGCAGCAGCTTGAGCTGGACTTTCTGGCTTTCGGCTCCTTGGAGAGGTCCTGCAAACTGTGTGGTCCTAAGTCTGGGACAG